GCTGCAGCGGAGCGGCGCATTCGATCAGGTGCTGCGACTATCACCTCGACGGGCGGAGGATGTACCCGGAGGAGGCGTCCTCCCTGGGCTCCGTCGACGGATTCTTTCCCAGGTGCCGCGCTGAGTTGGATCCTTGGATACATTTTACGCATAACTTTCGTGAAATCCTTGAACTGCCAAAACGATCATGCAAACTCACAATATTTTGCCTAATGACTATCACATTTTTGCCGTATTTATATATTTTTTTTATTTATATATATTATGTATATATTTTTCCCCAGCTGTCCGGACGGGAGGCTCCCGGTGGGTCGCTGCGCCTCGTCTGATCGCTGCGCCGGCTGCCCCGTCGGGAACGGGCACTACTTCACCGCCCTGGAGTGCGCTCTCGTCGCCGTGGTGATGTGAGACTCAACGCGCCTGCAAGACTCCAAATTTTTTTTTTTTTCCACTGACAAAAATTACTCGATTGAGTTGTTCTCTGTGCGAAGGTCTTCTTTCTTTTGTTTTCAAGTTTTGATTGAGTTTTTGGTCCAAAGCTTCGGAAATAAATCCTTTTTTTTTTTCCTTCTCTGAGCTAATCGTGAAGCAGTTTCTCTAATCGTCGCTGCTCGATCTTCTTCGACGACTTTCCGTTGCTGAATGTTTCAATTCTGCGTCTGCAGACGAGACACCGTAATGAGTATCGCCTTCAAAATGTCAGTGTGTCATATCCGATATGTGTAGGTAGTGCCAGGAAAATTTCAGACTAATTCCTTGCTCCGAACCCGAGTTAGAGCTCTTTCCGTACGAGTCGTCCAATGAATTGGTCTTTGCGCCGTTTTTCCTCCTCTCGTCCCGTCCTTGTCGGAGCGGAATCTGAATTCCTCCTGCGTTTCGAGGGAGCAGAGAGGCATGGCGCGCCCGCGAGAGTCCTCCGAGTGCCCCGTCATGGATGACATGGGCGAAATGTCTTTCAATGTTAGAGAAGGGAGGAGGGAGGAAAATAGGGGAATGTTTGGAAACGGTGTGCGCGCGAGAATGAAAGACG